CTGTGGAATCACAAGCCTACCGTAATTGTTCTCGTCGAGAATTCGACACCAATGGTCGACTTGGATTCGATACTGAACATATTTCTAGCGAATCGTGACAACAAATTTGATTTTCCGACACCAGAGTCACCAATCAAAATAACTGAAATGTTGGAAAGCATGATTTCTTTGGATTTCTCAACGAACGGTAGCTTTTTCTCACTAACTTTTGTACAAATAATCATATCCATCCGCATCAACCATTACTGAAGAGAGAAGAAATATTCCAGACGCGATTACCTTCAAGAAAATTTAGCTAAAATGCCTGATGATATTTTGAGGAAGGTAACAACATGGAACACTGCACAGGCACTGCGAAAATGTTTCGTGATAAGTTGCCATCGATTCGATGCTGTTTCGCTCCTTATCATTAGCGTGCCCGAGCGCTTTTAGAGATAGCGCAGTATGCGCTCTAACAAAGATTTCATCTCTAGCAAAGTCTTAGGAGAAGTACCTTGGGAGTTTTTTATAGGAAGATCACAGAAGTTCTCCTCGACATCTGTTTCCTTTAACACGACTTAACCCTTTGACTACTGGTGGTACACATGTGTACCACTTCCGTAGTCAAAGTCACTACCACAGTTTTGGCACTTATTGAGATCGGAGGGCCCGCTTTATGGCGGAATTGTGCACAACTAGAAACTTGGTAATTCTTACTCTGTCAGCAAAGTATCAGAAGTCAGAGCGAGTTACGCTGGATAAGTTGATAAGCAAGTCGTTCCACAGGTCACTGGGCAGTGTGCACAGCTCCCGAAAAGGTAGTTTTCGAGTCTCACACTCTTTGTACTTGTGTAATGGTTCTAGTGTTTCCCTCAATTATTGTATCAGGTGCAAACATAAGCAAACCGATGACGGATGGGGGCATTTTATCGGCCGCAAGCCAGTCAGAGGACGACACGGCGTACTACGACTGTGTTGGAGATTCCACCTCCAGGGTTCCGTCAGTTGGTGATGAAGTGGTAGTAGAAAACTTATATGATGGCGAAGATTTCGAGCATGAAAACCCACGGAAATTCATTCGAGGAAAACAGCGGAGCAGCACTTCTACCAAGTGGCTTGCAATTCTTTTCAAGTGCGTTCCCAACCGGACATTGCCTTATTCCACGAATGAGATGTGATAAATGTGTATTTGTTGAATGGTATTTGAACTGTTCAAAATGCTCATTCGAGCGGAGATGGTGTGGTGACAGGAGGGGCCACTGCCGCGCATATGGTCTCTGGATCGAATCCCAGCTCAAACCCAGCGTACGTCAGCCAAATTTCTACAGATGATTAGTTGTTGCTAGGAGCGATAGATACTACACAGAAACACATCGATAACTTGTTTTTGAGAAAAGTCGTAGTCTAAGCGGTAAGACTGATGGGAGGTGTTTGACTGAATAATGATGGTAGGACACTAGTGGCAAAAAGAGCAACCAAGTTCAAGTTCTACAATTAACATGCCGATTAGGCCTTCAATTCATACCCACGCAACAACCTACTGATAGAGATCAAGGTAAAAATTATTCAGACAAGTTGACATGCTCCCCTTAACAGAAAACTAAGTTTTTCAGGACATCGCCAGAAGCTGCAATGAAACGAGCAAATGCTACTTCTATTAAGAAGTAATCATCGTTTTTTTCAGAAGTAATTGAAAGGATTAATTATGTTTTTACTGACAGATGGAAAACTGAAAAGAATAGCGAAAAGTCACTACGGGGAGTGTGTGTCATGACCAACCATGACAGTGGTAGAAACCCAAGGAATAAGACCCTCAAAAGGATTACATACAACCTTCTTCCACCCCCTCTCCTCCGCCTCCCTCCGCGACTCCACTGCTCTGAATGTCCTTATAACGTGTGGTTCTGACACCACATGACAAACTCGAAAGCCAACGCTCGTGGTGAAAATATCAAGCGTCACCTCTTCCAAAAATAACAAATGCCCTCCTCCCCATCATGTCGATTGAAAATCATCGCGGACTGCTAACAGAAGAAACTCGCTTCTTGGATGACCAGTCCGTGAACTCCAATAAGTAAAGAGGGCTGGCCAGGTAAATGATAGTAAAGAGGGCCGGCTAGGCAAATGATAAGGAAAAATGGAACTGGTATTCATCAGCAAGGGAAATGTATCTGATCTTGTACGTCAGCAAAAATTCAATACTGAAATAGTTAGCTGTCAAGGAAAGTTTGAAACATATTTGTCCTCTTTTGTGACGATGATATCTTAAATACCCTAAAATCCCATAGATAAGAGCGGTTTAATTTACCGGTGAAAAATGAATTGGAATGAAATTGAAATTGAATGCAGTCACCCCTCTAACTTGATGGATGGATAAATAAAAATCGGAGAAGAAGTTTAGAAGAAGCTCCGTCCCTCAACTCTAAACCCCGCCCACTTAATAAACAATTCATATAGAAAAATAGCGATTTTAACGGAATTTCTGCCGGAATCTCTCTAGAAATGCCGGAATTTGATCTCTGGATAGAACTTGAAGAGCCCATTCGATCAGTAAAATTCCATAGATAAGAGCGGTTTAATTTACCGGTAAAAAATGATTTTGAAAAAATATTTTTATTTTTATTTTATTTTTGAAAAAATATCTATGGACCGCTCTTATCTATGGGATTTTAGGGTAATTGTTTCATGTTGTTTTTCACGCTTTTCAGAACAGCTTTCAGAGATGATTTTAAAGCAATTTCAGCCCAATGATGCCTCTACCCATTGTTTATCGGCCCTGTTCAACACGTTGACGACAGCGTGACGCGGTAACGCGTCCCACTTTGCGCACCTCGTGGGACATTGTGACGCGGTAACGCGTCCCACCCAAGTCATCCTTTTTCTTGCGCTTGTGCGACTTATTCCTAAGGTCTTTGTACTCATTCTATAGGTCATACATTAGCATACTTAAAAACCACATGGCTCACAGAAAGGCAAATATTCTTTAGTTTAGGCAGACAGGGGCTCGCCCGCAATATTTGGCAGACGTTTGCCAGGATTATAGATATTTCTGTTCAATTTATTTCTCGTTTTCTTTTCAATAGCGTAGACATGTTGATGAATAGGATTAATCGGAGCGAATGCAACACTATTCGAACGGAAAATATGTGTTTTAAATGAAACATCCACGTAATTTTGGAACCACTAAAGGGAAATTAAGTAAAATTTCCCTTTTCATGGCCTTAACACGTCATTTCGGTCAAACTTCCATTACTGTAACTCCTGATAAGCTAGACAGATCGAACATAATTGAAAACATTTCAGCTATTGGCTCTGTCTACTGAACATAAAAGCTCTTCCCACGTTGTGAAGTGTGGGGAGGCAAGAAAGACTTTTGCCATGATGCGCATGTAAAATATTTCTTACACAATGTGATGACGTTTGAGAAAATCTTACAGCGAAATGTACTACCCTCACCGTCTACAGAATGTGGAGTCATCCTTCGCCGCTTTCGATCTTAATATGACTTACAATATTTTACAAGAATGCTGGGTTGTGAACAAAACTTTCGCCCCAGGCGGGACTAGAACCCGCACCTCTCGCTTTCCGGGCAAGTGCGCTACCAGTTACGCTACCGGGGCACCATTTCATTCCAACTCAGCTTTTCATGGTATTTTCATGGTAAAGAGCAGTTTACAAACAAAAACAAGTCAAAAATGACTTACAATAGTTAATTACTCCACCATGAGGCTACCTCAATGGCGGAGTCTTCAAGAAAAAGAAGCGATGACAATGCAAAACAAATACAGATGAAAATTTGGGACAACGGCCCACAATCCGTCGAAGATCTTGTTGATCTTGCACCGTATTCCCATAGCTGATTCTTCCGAATTTACCAGTCTAAAAGGCTAGATAAGGTTTATCACTAATTTCGCATGTGTTCTTCAATAGCAGTAAAAGGCATTGGGGTGAAACTCCAGTTCGGGGGGGGGGCACTCCATTGCTATCTTATCCGTAGTACTAGAGAGCAGTTCTTTGGGCTATCGAACACTACGGATAAGATAATAAGTGAACGACTCATTTCGAGCGTACTTTTGATAAGGACCGGTGGATGTCCTACATTCCACACTACCTGCCCACATCCCATCCACTTTTCTGCACAGGTGATCCACCCTGGAGCTCCTGCACCCTTAGCCCTTTGCGGAGGTGTCCTTTCTCCTGGTCCAGGACCGTTCCCTTGGGTCATGGCAGGCGGAAATGTGAAAACGTTTCAGGGTTTCTCACCCATTACACCAATATTTATCAGAAGTCTACTTTAAATGAGTCGATTACGTGTCGTGAGCCCTCTAATCCTTATCTTGAGTATTGGAGAAAAAATGGAGTGCCCCCCCCCCCCGAACTGGAGTTTCACCGGCATTGGGTCTGATTACAGCAAAGTATGACCAATTCGGCTTTGAATGTGAGAGATTCTTTTTCTACTGCTCTTCGTATGCGAACATTTTGGACTACCTCATTATCAGCTGTGATTAGTATTATTATCAGCCGGTCGCAACTTCCTTTCCGTGTTTTTCTTTAAAACGGAGCACCTTTTTGATTGACATTTCACAAGGCGCCAGGAGGGACGCTGGAGCACGGCAGCTTCGCGCTGTGAACCTCGCGACAAAAATGACCTTGCCTCCTCATGTCAACATTCCCTTGCTTGCAGAAACAATAATTGTGACTTTAATTCAGTCAAGGTAGTAGTCCACTAGACGCATGGCTCAGTTATTAAGTTAGAGTCGCACATATTGCACCTGTGAGCAAAGAAAACTCGGCAACGGAACTGACCGAAGGGTTATTTCTTGTCGCGAGGTACGCAGCGAACATTTGCTGTGCTCCAGCGTCCGCCATCACGCCTTACGAGATGTTCATCAGAAAAGTGTTATACTTTGTCGATATGCAGAATTATGTGACGGGATGGAGGCTAAACGTGTCTTTGTTGAAAGAGGAAGTCGTTGTGGCCAGCGTTGTTGAAGTATGGTTACCCATTCATTCGACCTTTGAAGGATGCTTTTATTCTCCTTACGAGGAAAGGTCACCAGGCCGGTCCGGCCATTTGCAATGAGGTGTATACCTATGCATTCGTCTTGAGACGATAAGCTAGAAACCGCTTTTCTTATCTGCTAAACGGTGCTCTGAACGGAGTTACGGAAGTTTTCCCCTCAACACTGTACTTAAACGCAGTATATGAGCGCTATCATTGGAGTCGCCACTATAAGCCAAGCGGGAAGGAGCACGTCGTGGTTGACGTGGCGTAAGTGGTAACGCTCCAGGCTTGTAGGCGAGAGGTCATGGGATCGGTCTCTCGTGGTGTTTGTTGTTTTTGCCTTTTTGAAAACATGACCAGAAAGGCTTTTAGCGACAGTATCTCCTCAATTGCTGCCTTTACCTGCCTGTGTAAGGAGTTAGGGAGCACCTCTGCGCAGGTTGAAAGCTATATTTTAATTAATATTTGCCATGACTGAAAACGACGCTCATAGCCCACTGACAAGGTGTTTTTGCGGTAAACGAGTATGATATTCGTGTTCAGGAGACCGAATTTTCCCCTGGTTACAAGTTTCCAGCTGAATCTGAGATTTTGACCTACACTCGAGAAAGGGCAGTCAACATACAGTCAAACGAGAGAAGGTATGAATCGAAAACTAACTGGAAAAGCACCTTCCCTGAATTTTGATGCAGAGTCATGTAAATCATTTCCGTTATGCGGGAATGTGAGCCGTTGAACGTTTCTCTTTTCAAAATCTTGGTTGGAAGAGCAATTTCCATGCAAGAGAGTTCAACGATAGGTTGATGATATGATGGTTGACTCACCTCATTTTTTAGGGTTGGGTCAAAATCTCAGATTCGGTAGGAAACTTATCTCCAAGGGTAGTTTGATCTCCTGAACACGAATATCACGCCTGTTTGCCGCGAAAAAGCCTGACACGTGCATTACGGGCACCATGTTCATACATGGACGACTACTGCCCAAACCTGCAAGGAACTGCTCGAAATTTTTTCGTACAGGGAACTAACGGCAAAGTTGATAAATTAAGAAGTTAGAAGCTTTCTGGCTACATCTTCACGAAGCACAAAAGAAACAGACTCTCCGAGGAGCCGTTCCCACGACCTCTTGCTCGCGAGTTCGGGGCACTGCCACTGCGCTTCCTTGCTTTATAACTACGTTCAGAGAATCGTTTAGCAGATAAGGAAGGCAGTTCTGAGCTCAGCGCCTCGAGGCGACTTCAACGGTATACGACTCATTGCAAATGGCCGGACCGGCCTGATGACCTTCCCTCGTGAGCAAAAGGTAGTGATTGGCTTGTTTAAACTTATCTAAAGGAAGCGATCACGCTGGCTTCCACGCTGGATTTGCTACCCTCGCGTTATCAATCGATAAGGTGTGAGGCAGTAATTGTTGGACGAGTGTAAGCCCATGGAAGATATGATACGATGAGATAAGAAGGTGCGGCTGCTTGATAAGAGGTGCACTCCAGAATGAAAACGGGACGATAACGATAACGGTATCATATCTAGCACGCTCTTATCGCACCCCTTTCCACATCGATAAGTCTTGGTTTTTGCTGAACGGAAGTGGATTTCGGCGCCTTATCACTCCGTTGATAAGGCGCCACTGCCACTGAAACTTCACGTGTTCTAACATTGGGCAGGACCCCTATCCACTCCAGTACACAGCTTTCCTTATCGTTCCCATGAAAATTATCGTGACCACTCCCTTTAAAAATTGCTTTCTAGGGACAGTAGCTCTAAATGTGCAAGACCCCTTCCGACCAGCTTTTCAGATAACGTCGTAAAAGTCCATGATCCGATAAGGACCAGCTTGAGCTCGAACCGTGCACAAGGTTCCCATGGCAATTCTTGTGATGTCTTGGTGCAAAAAGCTATTATAACGTTTATTGATAGAATTGGGATGTGCTCTTTGATACTAAGTTGGAGCAGTTGGTTTGAGTTTAGCAAAGTGTGATTAATGCTGTCTGAAGGTGTGAAGTGTCGCTTTTTTTGGCCTTCCCTTTTGTTAAAGTGAGTCATATCTGAGCAGTGTGATCGACCAGGAATATTCTTCTGCAGTTTCACCACTAATTTTCACGTGAAATGCTGATGTGAGTCGGGAGCTCGAAGATTTATCTGCTCGAAACATTCATTTTTTCCTCAAACGTGACGATATCTAAGCTTTGTGTTGACGCTACTGTTCATACGACTATACGTTATCACAGGGACAAGGCTTGAATTTGACACGAGTTTCTTGTTGACATCCGCCTTCGAACAGAACCTCAAAAGATCATGCGTAGACATCACATTTGTAAACAACATTTTTAACTTCTCATATTGTCGTAACTTTTTAGTATACCTGTAACCGGTGAGACGTTTATCGGAATGTGCTTTGATTTCAACGGCCAGCATGTTTGCAACCATGATCGACTTGGTCTAGGTCAGGGAGTGCCACAATTTCCACCTCTACATTTGTATCATTTGGTGCCTTAAGATGCATCAGACATTATTTTGAGCTCCCCGACTTCAGCTCTTCCTAAAACAGCAGACCTTAATCCAATGAATACACCTCCTGAAACCGTCTTGCTCTTCATTGGCATTGTCGCTGTCTAGCTTATATTCAAGCGTTTGCCATTCTTCTTTTGCATCCACCTCTCCACCGCAACCCTCTGGCTAAAACAAATACATAAGGCATTTGAGGTTAAGCTAGAAAAATAGCAGTCACCCTTTTTTCGCAGAGCGGTCCACCGTATCCACTAGGGCATACGCATGTTGAGCAATTACGAGGATTAG